AGTTACATGTGAGGATAGAAGCTTCTCACCACGTCTACCTGCATGGATAACACCTGAGTAACACACAGTCAAACAGGACTGTGTTTGTTTGATCCTCTGTCAAACAGCAAAGCCTGGAGCTGCACTACTTTTTCTTAGTTTCTTTTCACTGTCAGCCACTATTTGCTTATTTTCTTAGCAGAAAATAAGCAAATGTGTGTTGCTAATGTTCCTAAGATCATTGAGTTGGCAAAAGTTTGGCGTGTCTGACTGTGCTCTGTGCAACACTGGCCATCTGCTGTGCAGGACTTTCTGTTCCCTGACATGAACACACGCCCACGTGTCTCGCAGACTTCACACTTACGAAGAAGTTGGAAAGACTGAAGTTGACCTGCGGCAAGAAGTTAGAAAAACAACAAAACATTTCGATAAACATACTGTGTGTAGTGTGGAGAGATGTGAAACAAGCTATGATATGTGTGTTTTTCTTCTTCCTGCAAATAAAATCATGTAAGATGTGTTCCTGTAATCCTGCTGCTGCTTTAAACTGGATGTAACTACAGTGCAGTAGAAATAGTACATTTAAAAAAGAAACGCTCTCTTTATTCCCACAGGTGTTTGCTAAAAGATAGAGAATTATCTCACCGAGCTAAAGCTGCTGCTTGCACCACTCAAAGGTTCAATTAATCACACTAGGAAATGTGACACAGAGGAGGAGACAGTTATTCTTATCAACACGCTCTACATAAACTACATTAATCACAAATGATAAGTCGAGTGAGGAGATTATGGGCGACTTTAAAGGCCTGAGACGCCCAGGCTGGCCATGGAAGAGACTCATATTTTTCATTTTAAAAATCAATGGAGGTCTATTTGGCCATGTTACTGTAAGATAGGAAAAAACAAAATCTAGCTGCATATTGTCAATGTGAGTGACTATTCTGATATGTGTTTAAACTGAATGCCCATTGTTGATACATGTACTTCATTCAAACACATATTTAGAAAACTCTTGAATCTCTATGTAGGATAATGAATTACAACCACTGGTAAATGTGAATAACAACATATAAGTACAGACAGAGATGTGGGAGAAGAAAGGATTATTGTATCCCCTTATAATTTCTCCATTCTTTCCCACTAGATGTCCTTGAGTTTGTTTTGCTGTCTCTGGTATGTCTATTATCCTGCTTTCTTTGCTTTTCATTGTGGTGGGGATAAGTTAAGTGTGACATCACTCTTTTTTCATGTACCACTTTAAATTCTGCCTCTTTATTGTTTGTTGTTTACATGTATAGTGAGTGGTTTTGTTCAGTGTTTCCCACCTAAGACAAAATAATACTTATATCGTGGCGCCCTCTCCCGATCACTTATGGAAAAGCTGTACCCGGAAATGGTCGCCAGTGGAAATGAATGAAAACCGAAAACACGTGGTCAAGATGAGTCAAACAGACACCAGCTACATTTCCTGTTTGGACTTTTAGCGGCTTTCAAAATAAAAGCATTTTTAATAGCTTAATAATGTAATTAGGCATTTAAGCACCATGCCCATTTACTGATACTTGACCTTGTAGCTAGCACAAAATGCTTTATAATGTGTTATGGGTATTGTCATGAAGTATTATTAATATTTTTATAGTATAACCACATTATACACGCCTATAATGCATTATAGCCTATATGCTAAGAAATACTTATGATACACCAGTAGCTGTAAGAAGACCTTAAATCTGCTTAAGTGTTCATTGATCTCAGTATTGACAACTTTATCTTCTTCTCTGAAGCATCTACAACTGGATGTTGGTAAAAAAAAAAAAAAAAACAGATAGTGAATGACTATATAACACAGCTGCAATTTTAAAGAATACCTATGGCTTAATTAGTTATTGTTATAGTGTATAAGTCTTTGTATGTGAGTTCAAAGTTAGAACAGAACCCATTTGCCAAAACTGTTGATTTTGGCAAATGAGATTCAGGGAACCAGTTGATGTTCCAAAAAACAATACGTATAAGATCACATAAATTGTGAAAAGTAATAGAAGGTATGACAGAAGCAATAAGAATAAGTGAGGAGCACAATATAAAAACAGATGTTATTTTAAACACCTTTGTAAGATTTTACTTCACCTGCTCAAACAAGTCATGAGCAGGTGGAGATGTAATGTGTGGATGAGTTGAAAACTGATCTGAGAAATTGTATAAAAATATCAAATATGAGATAACCTGCTAGATTTCTCTACCATGCATATAAAAATACATGTTTTAGAGAAACTGTAAACTGCTGCAGTTTGTAAAAAACGAAGTGATAGCAGAGCTGCTTCCGGCCCCAGCCAGCAGGGGGCCCTCCAAAACACCAAATTAACGACTGTGATGTCGTCCAGTCAGTTATAGTCATCACTCTATTATACATTGTTCCACAGGTGCTTAATGGCAACTAGAGTACTAGTAGTAGCCAGGGTTGGGGAGTAAGTTACAGTGTTGGGTATTCAAAATACAAAATATGAGTAAATGTATTCTGTTCTGTTACAGTCACAGTTTAAATTGATGGTATTCTGAATACAGTGACTGTCTCTAAAAACAGATTACTTGTGTTTTATTTACCCTAAAATTCATATGAGGCACACATTTCCCATAGATAGATTTTTAAAAATGTGCAACATTTTTTGCACATTTTGCTGATAAAATTAATTACTTGTATTTAAACAAAGTTCTGTATGAAAAAAACTTTTGCTTGCAATGGAAGATTTTCCTTTAGTCTTAATTTTACTTAAGTATTTGATTTATCTGAGGGTGTGAAGTGAAATTCCTTCAAGGCTAAAAAAAAATCAGTTGGCTTCAACTTGTAGACATCTTCTGTTGTCTGAACTATACACTTTTATTTATTTCATTCCTATATTTACCATGTTGTTTTATTTCAAACATCCTGAGTCCATATGTGAGTGTGTATGTGCGTGCATCCATGTAACTGTTAATAGAGTTTAGCACTTTGACAGCTGAGAGGCTCTCCCAGCTGAGTGGTAAAAAAAAAGAACAGCTCTTCTCACTCAGTAAAGCATTTAGTCACATATTATTCCACAAACAACTTGTGGACCTTGTGAGTCTTGCTTTGGGATTTTACTGGATTAACCACACAAGACAGGATCAGTTTATCTGGATACAGTGTTGGAACTGAAATCTCTCATGTCACAAGCAAATGAAAATTATTTTCAAACAAACAATATGAAGAACATGTTTAGTTACGTCCACCTGTTTTCACTCAGAATGTATCATACAGTGTTCAGTGTTTTATACACAGTAGCTCTGTCCCTTGAGTTGAGTCCAATAAACAATACAATTATCTAATAACTGATCTAAACAGACTCTGTAACAATGGAAACAAAGGCTGAAAGGGATAAATGGAATCGTTTTACAGCTGGCTTGTAAATAAGATGGATGCTTGCTGTTTGTAAAGATAGGACCCTGAACTAATGCAGTTAATATACATACATTTGAATGTATCATAGGGTTGCATAGGTGGGTTAAATAAATGTTTATACCTAATTCTGAAGTTGAATATATAAGCATAACTTTTGTCGGAATGGGTTCCTATCAGGCAAATGAAAATACTGTATTTATATATTAACCGCATCTGCAAGTGAAATTGTGATTAAAGGCTCCCTCTGCCCCTCAGCTATGTGATTTTACATACAGCACAAGTGTTTATACTTATACGTGGAGTATATAGGAGACAGCCGAGTGTTAAATTGCCATTAAGGAACCAGCAGTTGTGCAGTACCCCATTATGATTCATATAGTCATATGGAAATCGGTTGGGAAACAAACTTTTACTGGAGAACCTTTCCTGATTTTACTTTAGTTTAAATTTCAATTGAACTGTCTTTTATGTAGTCATTTTTTATACGTTACACAAAACTGTTTCTAATTTTTTAGTGTTTTTTCTTTTAAAACCTGTTAATTTTATGACTTGTATGTTTTCTTTTTTGCTGCCTTGTGAATCACTTTGTAAGGTGTATTTTGATGCTCTATTATTATTATATGGACAATGATGCCAGACAGTTATGGAAAGAAATCTATGAAATCTATCCTTTTCTGAATGATAGCTTATATGTAATATAAGCAACATTCAGAAATAAAAATGTGAAAATTTTTTTGACAATCCTCTGGAATAGTTTACATATATTCAAAGAAAGAAAGAAAGAAAGAAAGAAAATATCTGTGTGTAAATGTGAGTGTTTTGATAAAGACCTGTAGTGTGTGCATGAAACTTTAATAATAATTGTACAATGGACACTGTATACTATTTTCAAAATGTCACAGCTTGCAGTGTGTGGGTATTTGGACCAGGGGTGTCAAACATATGGTCCGGCCCGCCACAGGATCTAATCAGGCCCACTGGATAACTTTGTACAATTAAAAGTGATGCACTTGTGAAGGCTAAGAGATAAACACTGAATAGCTTCCTTAATGTAAAATGCTGCCTCAGAGGTTTTTCCACATTGACCAGAATATCAGTTCTCTGAAAAAGCAATGCATACTTCCTGTGGTCATATTCTAAAGATACTGAACATTGTGCAAAATATTGTCAGTCAGCAGTATCAGTACAAAAGAATCTGTATCAGATTTACTTTTTTTTTTTTTTTTTTTTAATAAATATTGGTGGAACCCTATTGCTACTGCCAAAACTTTTGATTTGTAAATGGTTTGTGAGGCAGGGAAAGACTCAACATGCTTCCTCAATAGCTTCCACTTTAATTTGGTGTTGTGATGTCAGGATTACTACACAGGAGTGGAAATGTACAGAAAAATGCAAAACTGAGACATGTTGTTCAAATTGCATTTATTCCTCTGAGGAAATCACAGGCTGTTTGTCATCGTCAGACCGTATGTGGCTCATGAACTAAAATTAGTTTGACACCCCTGATTTAGACATTTAGTTTGTTGAAATTCTCAGATTAAATAAGTGGAGGTGAGTCTTTTATTCTGGAGGACTTCCACCGGAAGTCTCCGTGTTGTTGCTGCAGCTCATGGTGAGTTCAAACATCCATGGTGAAAACATGTCGCCTCGTGTTTGACAGGTTGGTCTGGCTGTAGTTAGCAAGTTTATTATGAATTACTCTTCTACTATTGTCATTAACTGGTACAGTTCAACCGGTGTGTCCTTTATAACACGTAGCATGATGTGGCGGCGGTGTCTGAGGCTAACGTTAGCTTGTTCTGTATTTGCAACAACTTTTTAGCTCCTTTAAGCTAACGTTAGCTAGCTAAGTTAAACGGCAACATTGCGTTTACGGCAATAACGTTAACGTTACAGGTTTATTCACAGTGTTAAAACGAATATAATTTATTGCTAATTTATGACGACATGATAGCATGATAGAGGTCTCTATAACACGTTGCTCTCTTGCTAATTACCTTACCTGTGTATGGCAGAATATGCTGTGTTGACAGTTTGAATGTCTCTGTCTCTCTCCAGGTGTCACACATGAGCCTCTGAGTTTGGCACCAGCTGTGACACATATATACATATACATTCTCTAGTTACACCTCTGTGTCTAGTGAGGTGCAACCCACATATTCAGCATGTCCTCCCAGGAAGATGTGGCTGCAGAGCCAGGCCCTGCCACTGAGGATGATGCCACCACTGGGGACGTCATCACTGTCACCATTGGAGCAACCGTGCCCACAGGGTTTGAGCACACTGCTGCAGAGGAGGTCAAGGAGAAAATTGGGGTTGATGTACGAATCAGCAAAGATCGTGGTCGCATATACTTTCCAATAACTACTGACAAGCTTTTTCAGGTAGGGAACCTGGAGCCAATGCATGCCTTGTTCTTCCAAGGTGTGTCTCACTGTCAAATTGTATTATACCCTTAGGGAACTTTGCTTTAATGTTGAATGGTTAAAGAGTCAAAACCTCTGTTTAATTTGGCCAGGTGTAAAAACAGCATAGAAATCACAGTGTTATTCATTGAATTCCGCACTCAAGGTCCATCTTCTGAGGTCTGTGGACAACCTGTTTGTCGTGGTTGAGGAATTCGATAATTACCAGTTCAAAGAATCAAAGGTAACTTGCAGCCAGCTTCGTTCTGTTGTATCTGATGTCGAGCACATTATCATCAGGGTAATAAACTGTTTCTTTTGCAGGAGGAGACTTTGATGGAGTTGCAGCAGCTTGCCTCCAAACTCCCCTGGACTAATGCTTTAGAGGTTTGGAAACTAAATGGCACCCTAAAAAAGAAGAAAGGCTTCCGGAGAGGAGGAAATAGCACCAAAGTCAAACCGAATAGTGAGGCCACTGATGCAACTGTGGCTGACAGCGAGCAGCAAGAGCCATCTCAAGAGGCGTCTGATGCTGAGAGCCAGATGCAGGCAGAGAGCACGCCTGACGCAGAGGCCAGCACACAGGACTCAGAGGAGACAGCACCTGAGGCCAAGCTCATCAAGTTTCGCGTGACGTGCAACAGGGCCGGTGACAAACACAGCTTTTCCTCTAATGAGGTAGCCAGAGACTTTGGTGGAGCCGTGCAGGAATTCTTCCAGTGGAAAGCAGACATGACAAAGTTTGACATCGAGGTAGGCGTGCTTGGACTGACGCAAAGTGAATACCATCACTCTGGCCAAAACAAACTCTGCCTGTTCAGATATTTAGAAGGCATAACCTAATGTTTAGTTTAAGGAGTAACAAAAGAAAAACTAACAACTCCCTTGAGTGATATTTTCCATTAAGATAAGCTGCTCACGTTATGTGACAAGTTGACAAATGCTGCATTGTATCAAATGGCAGAGATATTTGTTTTTTAAATTGAGTTAAAATGGTGTTCACACACTGATGACAATCTGTGGCTGTTACAAGATGTTTGTAATTTGACTTCCACAGTAATTTAGTTTTAGTGCTGATTCTGGGTCAGCTGATATTTATATGCATATTTAGATGAATAATAATAATTACTAAATTGCCCTATGTAGGATGGATGCTTTGTGTTTGCTTGTGTATTATCGATAATAGACTGGAATATCAGGCCTGAAACTATTTTTTTCAATATTAATCAGCAGATTAGTTTCTCAATTTATCAATTATTAATTATCGTCAAAAAATATTTTTAAAAAATGACCATATCAAGTTTTCAGAGCCGAAGATGATGTTTTCAGCTGCTTGGTTTGTCAAAGCAACAGTCCAAAACCACAAAATATTTTATTGACATATATTGAATTCAGAATAAATCCAAACTAAAATAGTTGGTGATTAATTTTCTGACGTTCTTTCAGTTCCACAGAATATAAAATTGTATTCGTGGTTACAGGAATAATTGTTTTGGAATTTTTTAATTATGCACTGTATGCTTCTCTACTGTAGGTGTTGGTAAACATACACAATGTAGAGATGGTGATCGGCATTGCGCTCACAGAAGAGAGTCTTCACAGGAGAAACATCAGTCACTTTGGACCCACGACTCTGCGGTCCACCTTGTGTTACGGCATGCTCAGGTAATTCTACAACACTGTTGAAGCTCTGTCAGAGATTTTATGTGGATGTTGTTGGGATCCTGAATTTGTTTAAAAGTCCACATTGATCAGCCAAAACATTTAAACCACCGGTGGGTGAAGTGAATAACATTGATCATCTTGTTCGTAAAGTCAAGTAAACCCCCTGATGGCAATGGCGCTTGGCAATGGCGCTTGTCAATGGCAGTGCCTTCCCCAGCAGGACAATGCACCCTGCCACACCATAAACACTGCTCAGGAATGACCCCAGGAATGAGAAAGAGCTCAAGGTGTCAACCTGGCCTTCAAATACCCCAGATCCCAATCTGATCGAACATTTAAGGGATGTGCTGGTACCCCAGAGGTACCCCTGATCCATGGTGGGTCCTACTTGGACTGGGCTTGGCTCTGATCAGTCAAGATAGGAACGCAGGACCTCTGGAGAGTGTTCTTTGGTGTCTGGCACCAACACATTGGCTTCAGATTTTTTGAGTCCCATGGGTTGCGAGGTGGGGTAACAGGACATCCCACAGATGTTGGATCAGACTGGAATTTGGGGAATTTGGAGGTCAAGTCAATGCCTTGAGGTCTCTGTCACATTACTCGGGCCACTCTTGAGCAGTTTTTGTGGTGTGGCATGGTGCATTGTCCAGCTGGGGGGCCAATGCTACTGGGGAGGTACTGGTGTTTAGGTGGGTGGAGCATGTCTGGTGGCAACCAAATGAATGTCCCACCCAAACCCAAAGGTTTCCCAATAGAACATTGCATTGTAACAAGATGATCAGTGTTGTTCACGTCACCTTTTAGTGGTTTTAATGTTTTGGCTGATCGGTGTAGTATTTAGTTAATATCTATATTATTTAAAGGGATACTTACTTTGCTGATGTTCAGCCAGCTTTGTGTCATTACAATTTGGGTAGTATGTGTAAATGAACTCTGGTAAACTTCCTCCATCTTGCGTGCGTTTCGTTACCCACCAGTGTTTATTGGTCCGGTGTGGCGCCATGCATTCTCGTAGTTGCAGGCTTTATATCTCTTGAGCAAAAGCAAATGCTACAGTCCCTTTTCTCTGTTCTCTCTGGTCATATAGCACCAATTTCAAAAGTATTTATGTCTTTCTACTGAATAGTCAGCCTAGTTATACCAAAAAACCATCTTTCCAGCAGTGAAATACATCTTTAATTCCAAATTTGATGATTTTTGGTTCATAAAGTGAAGGTCATGTTGATATGACAAAGTTTAAGCCATAAAAACAAATTTCCACTTTTAACCTCTTTCATGATGACACTGTCGATAACAGGTGTGATCACCTTGGACCGCTACCAAAGTTTCGGAGGAAGGAGGAAGAGTTGGTGACAAAACAAGTGCTGAGCAACAATAGCAGACTGTCATCTACAGTTACAGCAGATTTGAACATGTTGGTCTACTCCCACTCGCTCAAATAGATACACCTGAAGGAAAAGGTGCAATGAGCCGAAGATAAGGGACAAACAAACACTAAATTTTCATCTTCGCCTTTGTCTGTGAACACATACAAAGAAAAGTTGACAAAAGCGTAAAAGGATGAGTACACTGTTACAGATCATTTGCAAAGGAATATTTTCAAAACACGTTGATGGGGTTGTGCAACAATTCTCCATCTAAATGCGACATGACTGAGTACTTCCCCTGACTGAATACCAGGAATATCCAATATCATCACACTAGCCAAGAACAACTCTTCTCTGTTGAGATAAATATGCAAGTCACACCTTGTGGTTATTTTTGGACGTAACAAAATAGACAAAAAAAACACTTCTGCTAAGTAACATTTTCCATAAAGAGGAGCACGTAACTCAGTTTGCTCATGGATTCAGTTCAGTTTTATTACTTGTTCTGGTTCAGCTAATATTTGTATGTTCTTGTTTCAGCATCATCAGACTTATAAATGAAGCATGAACAATAGTAGTGGGACCACAACAGGGCCCTGTGGTGCTTTTAAGCCCACAGTAGAAAGTAGGAATAGCGCTGAGTTTGAATTGGGTACAGTAGTTGGTGGAGATTATTGACAGAGTTCAAAGCCTTCGGTAATTTCAGTCACCATAGAGGAAGGGCAGTGGTTTGTGGTTTGGACTGAGGAAATTAGTTCACACATATGAGTCATTACTGTAATATTACAATTAGACAGTACGCAAGAACTGTGTTATGAGTCCCTTCCAAGTTAAAACACAAAGCGCTGTTATTAGGTAGTGCTACAATTCAAGTATTTCACATTTAAAGACTCTCCTTGTTCCAGTTTTATTTGGTTCTTAATGAAGTGATTGTTGTTATTTTGGAAGTGAAGGGTGCATCAGATACAAGTTATGATGTTGAGGGAGGAAAGGTGTGGATGGGTGTGATGTAAAATGTCTTAGGGCAGTACTGTTCACTCATTTATCCACTTTGTTTTTACTAGTCATGTTCAGTGTTCTGGCAGTTCAAACTGTTTCTGCTGGTGCTAAGTGCAGTTATTAGACATTGTTACAAACAATTGAGTCAAGCTCATTCTCGGAACCCATCGGCTGTATTCAGCGTCTGTCTTCCGGCAGACGGCGATACAGCCTCTGGGGGCAGACCCCCGATTTTTTGGCATTCCGGTTTGATTTGGGCGAAGGAGGCAAATTTCCGTTTCCGACTTCCGTTTATAAGTAATTATGCTGAACCATTGCGATGGATTCAGAGTTTGCAGTGACGCCAATTATGTTCCGCCTCGTTAGTTCACCGCACGGACCGTTTAACCTGGCAACAACTGCAGCTGGCTCAAACGTGATTGGTCAATATCACGCGGACTACAAACAGCCTACAACCGGAAACCAGGGCTCTTCCGCTCTTCTTCCGGAGGCAAGATCTCCGGGGTTTGCCTACATTCACTGAATGTGGAGTCTGTATATAGAGACTAACCATCATATTGCTTTGGCGTTGTATTCACACTGTATCATCTGTTGACAGGCTGTGTAAACCTCAGTTATCAGATATAATATTTGATCCAATGTGTGGGACTGGAGCTATACCATTGGAGGTGAGACATATCTGTGCCTAGACTATAATATTCTAACAGTATGTTTGCAGTATAAAATAGTGTGTTTTGCTTTTCTTCACCAGGGGGCCATTGAATTTAACAGCTCATTCTACGTTGCTGGTGACAACAACGACATGGCAGTCAACCGCACTGTCAGTAATATATGTCACATCCAAAAACGGAGGGCAGACAAGGGCAGGTGAGAGCTGACTATGTCATGACGAGGTCGTTTTGACGTACAATTTTGTGTAGTTACTGACTGTCATGCTCTTTATTCCTTTCTGGATCTTTTCAAACAGCGCATCTGGATTGCCCATTGACACAGTGCAGTGGGATCTGTGCAATTTACCCATAAGGACCGGCTCTGTTGACATTGTCATCACTGACATGCCCTTTGGGAAGAGGTAATAGCAGTGGTGTACACTACATGGTTGATTATATGTAGAAATGATGCTGAGTGAGTTTTGAATACTTAAATGCCTCAGCCGAGGTCTAAGCTGACTCTAATGTGACCTTGGTGTTTTAGCTGTTGGTTGAAATATATTTTGAACAGAAAATATGTAATAGTGTATTTATCTTTCAGCATTTTCACGCCAACCATGAAGTAAAATCTTTCCATTGTTTTCTTGAAGAATGGGCTCTAGGAAGAAGAACTGGGACCTTTATCCCTCCTGTCTGAGAGAAATGGCCCGTGTGTGCACACCAGGCTCAGGGAAGGCTGTCCTGTTGACACAGGACAAGAAATGCTTTGCCAAGGTAACTGCCGTGCTCATGCAAATAACAGGATTTTCAGCTAAGATGTTACACAATTTTTCCAGGAAAGTAAGATACCATTACATGAGAACTTTCTAATAAATCACAGGGCGAGTCCTAGCCTGCCATCGTCTTCCTGATAATGAAATCGTGCTCGCTGTTCTTCACTCGAACCAAATGTTAATCCGGATGTTGGCAGCCTATGCACGCAGCAGACCTCCTGATAAGGCTACAACAACTGCCTTTCCCAGTAGCCTTATAATCCATAAAGCAGCACGTACCCCACACCAGTAAACAAACGGCTGAATGAACAACGATAAGTTCTTAAACCTATGTGGACGACACAAACTGGGTGTAACTGGGTGCATCAACTAACACTGAGGCAACATACTTAATACTGTCACCAGCTGCGTTTGTTGTGCCTCTTGACTTTAATTCATAAACAAAAAAAGAATCCAGTTTCTCGAGTTTGAACACGTGTTGCCTCTTTTGAGCCCTTCATTAAGGCTGCATCATATCGGACACACGTGATCACTATTTGAGAGATTCAACATGCAACTGATTCAATTCATGTCATGGAACATGCTTCATACGTGATGCTTTAATCAGTGATAATTAAGGTAAAGATACAACCTTTTTCCTATGCCAAGCTAATAATAGTAATAATAATAGGTATTGCGGAACAAAAAATTTATTCATTACTCTATGGTCGCAACAAGTAGCTGGACCTGCTCAGCAGTACAATAAAGTGTTGTAATTATCCTTAACCGTCGCTGGGGGCTGGGGTGTGGCTAAAACCTGCGTGCCCTCTAATGCACTGCCATTTGCGTGGAGTAGACGCATGTTCCTCGCACAGTAAGACAATGCATAATGTGTTCCGCCCATGAACAGTTTGATTTCTTTGTATCTCCACCCTTATATAATCAGTGGTTGTACTTTTTCTACACCTCAGTGAGCTTGAGATGGAGGCGTGTCAAGAATAAACTAAATAGTACACTGTGTGTACAAGGACACAACCTGTTGCCATGGTAGCGATTCTAAAAATAAGTCATTTAAACAAAGTTGTTTCTTTTTTGGTGCTCCTCAGTGGTCAACTTGTCAGCCGGATGGTGAGGCTGACCACAGTCACTTTATGCGTCTGTATATCTGAGCAGTAATCCTTTTTTGGTAACAAATGTTCACCAGCAGGGCTGGACATGACCACAGTTTAAATGGAAGAAATAGTGGTAGCCAGCATGTGTAACATTATTTGCTATATTCAGTAGAAATAAATGACAGTCTGAGGCCACAGAGTGAAGGAGACAAAAGTCTCATTCCTTAAATGGACAGGCTTCCTAAACCACAAAGTGCAACACGCTAACCATGTTGTGTAGTGTTGAGTAATTTCACAGTAACCACAATGTGCCAACCCAGACAGTGAAAGAACGTTCATCACTGAGGGCTGACACATGCCAGCGTCATAGTATGGCATATGGCATGAAGCACTTTTGTTGCTATGGTTACCTGCAGTTTAACTTGCTGCACAATGCTATTAATATTAATGGTTAAACCACTGACTGGAACAACACTTTAAGTGTCCTGATACACCATATCCTCAGACTGCTAGCTACAAAGAGTCTCATCAAACAATCTCATAATCTGAGCAAAGCCTTCCTCTTCCAGGTGCAGTCATTGTTTACAGTCAGATTAGCAACTTGAGGTGCAAGAATTGAGTTGGAGTTCCTCTTGCACTAATCTCTCTAAATATATATCTGCATATGGATGGAGATAAAAGAAAAGAAGCAAATAAAAAGTTAAATCGTCAGACGAGATTCCGGGTGTCCAGATTGCATTTCATCTTATGCGTCCTGCCTATTTTGCTCTCCACACGGACTGTTTACCTGCTTGCAACCAAAGCCCCCTCAAACATGGTCAGTAGATTCTACTCTGACTACAAACAAAAACCAGAACGCTTCAGTTACAAAAACATTGTCCTGTTGCCTTCAGATTCTGCATTCATATGCAGATATATGTTATAAGGATCAGTCATCACAGCACTCTTATCACATCTGTATGCATATTTGTCTAACTTAAATACCTGTGGTTTTGCAAATCATCAACCAACAGTCTGAATCTGTCAAAAAGAGTGTAAAAAGTGTGCATTTAGACCTCAACAACATACTGTATGCACACCTCTCTCAGTGGTTGTAGACTTTGCTTAGTAACCAGTCATGTCCTATAAGATGTAGACTGAACATCTGTTCTTTACACATAAATGAGACACACCTATATGGCTTTCAGTAGAGTAGAGCAATCAGTGTATCTCGTTATTTCTTAGGATAAGGCATTCTCAGAACCCATCGGCTGTATTCGGCGTCTGACTTCCAGCAGACGGCGATACAGCCTCTGGGGGCAGACCCCCGATTTTTTGGCATTCCAGTTTGATTTGGGCGGAGGAGGTGAATTTCCGTTTCCGACTTCCATTTATATATAAGTAAATATGCTGAACCATTGCGATGGATTCAGAGTTTGCAGTGACGCGAATTATGTTCCGCCTTGTTAGTTCACCACACAGACCGTTTAACCTGGCAACAACTGCAGCCGGCTCAAACGTGATTGGTCAGTATCACGCGGACTACAAACAGCCTACAACCGGAAACCAGGGCTCTTCCGCTCTTCTTCCGGAGGCAAGATCTCCGGTGTTTGCCTACATTCACTGAATGTGGAGTCTGTATATAGAGACTAAGGATAAGGAGACTAAGTGTCCACTGCCATGCTAGTGACCCTCTGAGGCTGTAATGCAGCACAGCGTTGCTTTGAGCTAAATACAAAGGTTAGCATGCTAACATGCTGATAAGCAGGTCTAATGGTCACCATCTTTATTTAGCATGTTAGCGTGCTAACAGTTGTGACTTGGTACTAAACACAGTACAGGTGGGGCAGCTGAAAATTGTATCAGTTTTGCAAGTATATGGTTCTAAACCAAAGTCTTGCGAAAATTATAATTTTGACAAGATAGTGGTGTTAGAGATAAAGTCAGAGGGTTACCAAAGTCCATCATCTGAGGACCAGATATTTAAGTCTGAACAGAAGTGGCGAACTCATAGACAGACTGATAGTGCCAACCAAGAGCAATTTTGCGAAAAAGCTTATCTATGAGGTCAATGAGTTGATGGTGGTTTTTTATATTTAAAATTAACAATACACTTGTGAGAGTAAAATAGTAAAATGGTAAATCAGGTTAAGAGAAGAATCTATGAAAATTTTGGACATCGAAATCGGGTCATGAGTCACTTAAGTCAGTGGCACAGTTTACTGCTGACTGTTGTGGTAAATGGGATTCCCCAAATTTGGTCAAATTTAAAAAGTGATTAATATTATATAATAAATGGTGTGAAATGGAAAATTCCAGTGTTACTGGTTTTGATTTCCTCTTCTTCAGTCCATCAATTGTGATCATTTGTAAATGCCACTGAGCTTTTTTATGTTTATGCAGCTCTCCATCAACTTTAAACAATCTAATGTGGCCCTTCTGCTTAAAAGCTTGCATGTACACTCAATTTACCCCAAAATCATCTCTAAATAATCTCCCCACAGTTTGAGTGATGCAGGTTTAACTCAGCTCAGTCTCTTGAGTAATGGAAAAAGACTTTAACCAGCTGTATTTGTGCAGAGATCATGTTTTACACAAAACAAATGTCTCATTTGTTAGTTTGTCCTTAAAAGATTTATGTCGTCTCCAGGCTGTCTCCAGGATGGGAGGGCTGTGGAGGAAGCTGCACATTGTTTGGGTCAACGTCGGGGGTTTACATGCTGGAGTCTACCTCCTCAAGCGGACTGCGGCCTTGTTTGGCCAAACTCCGGAGGACGTCTATGAATCACGGGGAACGGCTAATGCAAAGGGGGATGACAAGGATGACAAGGAGCTCTCTTAAGTCACATCCTGTATTTTAAGTTCTGGAGTCATATCTGAGGCCATGTAGGATCAACATTATTATTTATATTCCCTTGACTGATTTAATGGGGTTTTTTTTCAGGTTTCAGGTTCTCTGGTGAAGCTTGCCAAACAGTTTTAGTGTATCATTTTTGTATTTCATATTAAGTTCGATGGCTAACTGGAAAGTGAAAAGCTATTGTAATGCTTAGCAGCAGTTTAATGGTTCTCACACATACTGTTTGATTGAGTTCATGTGTCATATTGCTGCTCAGAGACATGCTGAAGGTTGTTTCACTGCACACCTCAGACCTGCTGCACACCTCAGACAACTGCACATTGCCATATTGTTCTGATTAATAAATAAAATTAATCAAACAAAATGTCACTTGATCTAAATATTCTTCACATTATATAAGTTTGTCAGTGATACATTTACAACAAACAGACCAGTGCTGAGTAGAATGGGAAGTTGTACTTTTATTTTTATTATTTTATAATTGATGTGCTGGGAAACAAAGTAGGGGAAAGCCACACAGTGTGAGTGTGTGCTTTCCCCTACTTTTGCTTTAAAGGTATGCTATGCAGGAAATGTCAGGTACAGTTTGTAAACAGTACGGGCACAGAAAGTGAAAGCCAGCCCCAGATTCACTCTTGTTCACCATGACCATCTTTTTCTGTCCTGTGTCCCATATTCTGTAGCTTCCTCTTAGATGGTCTGACAAGTTTGCTACCTTTTTAAAATAAGAAGAAAATTAGAAAATTCAGGAAGAGGGCAGGATCTCTGTGGATAAACACTCTGCCACACACCTCTAGAGGGATGATTGAGAGGGGAGGCTGTAGCTAAGTCCATAGGGACTTGGGTTCAGCACCGGAGGGTCACAGGCTTAAGTCCCCATACCAAATATGGAGGGAGGACTGGCAGCTGGAGAGGTGCCAGTTGGTCTCCCGGGCACTGCCAATGTGCCCAGCCCTCTTACTCTGACATACCTTGATTCATTGCATGTACAGGTCCTGTATGTATACGTGTGGGCATTTCAGGCCTGTGTGCAAATGACAACAGAGTGGAAAAATTTAATTTCTCCATGGGGATTAATAAAGTCTATCTTCCTCTTCTTCCAGTTAAAACATAGTGTTTAAAAAAAAATCCTGCATAGTACACCTTTAATTTCCAGCTACCTGCCAGCCAGCACGTCAAGAAAAGGTGTGTCTCTCTTTTTTTTTTTTCCCAGTTCCTCCATATTTACGTGCTGACCTGAGCGCACAGCAGGAGCATAGGACCTGTGGAGGTAATAAGAGAAAAGGAAGTGTTTGCGTGTGACTCAGAGGGAGTTTCACTTGCAACTTGCAGGCTTCGTGAACATTTGCATGCAGCATTTCACTTCCTTAAACCTCCAATAAAGTATTACCAAAGTTTCTGCTGCGAATTTAATGTAGATTTAATTTGGGTCTTGATAGGAATGAATCACAGATGCAGTTTTTATTAGTATTTCTTTACACTGTTGTAGGGTTGACTGTTTTTATTTAGATATTTATTTTTTGCAGTTTGAGAATAACAGATACAGATGGGTGACAAACTAAAGGTAAAATGAACATGAAGTATGGAGTGAGGCCACCAGGAGCCTCCAAAACAGTTTCAGCGCTCCTTGCCAAGTCTGTGAAACACTATTTGAGTTCCTCCACAAGATATTTCCTCATTTATGTACCTTTATTTAGTCAGATAATCTTATTGAGATGGAGATTTCCATTGCAAAAGAGGGAAAGAAACACTAACTAATTAAAGATATATGCGACAGATCGTTTTAGTCATATGGAGATGGTGGCAGAGCGCATTGTTTTATTTGTTGGCCCCAAATCTGCTGATTTATAAAGCATTTTATTCTCGTCATGTTCCAAACTCACCATTCAGTGATTGGTGCACAGAAACATCTGTATTTGGTGTGTTTATCAACTCTGTTATCCAGGTTTTGCCTTTAATTTGCCTCCCATCTGTGTAAGTGCTTAACTAAAGCATGATGTTATTATAGGATTTAACTTTTCAAGGTCACCACCTTCATGTGTTGGCACAAACAACATTAATAAATAATATCTAACAGCTGAGCAGCCTGTTAAACGTGGTGGGGAATAACGCTTCGTCTCGTCCCGTCAGTCACTGGGTCGAAGGCAGGTTACTCACGAGATGGCGTCAGCAGCAAGATAGCATGACGTAATGCGGGCTCATAAAGAGCCACGTGAGGACCGAGGGGACTCAATTGACTCTGCGCGGCCGGGACGTGAACACACGAGATGTTCTGGACCGTTTTCCTGCTTGTCCAAGCTGTGCTGCTTTATTTTATCCTCACACACAGGTCGAGGTGAGTGACTGCTTGGTTCACTTGTGTTGTTATGTGTGCATGTTTAAATACTGTCACGTTTCCCAGCAGTGGAAATACTCCTTATCAACATTTTCTAATACTATATGTGTTTTTGTTGAGTGTTGTGATGTAAATCAGAGGCTGCTTTAAAACCCACTTGACCTACTTCTGCTCCTAAATAACTATAAAACTTTGGTGACAACAATAAAAACTATTATAGTCTAGTAAACTGATGTGTGTTTTCATCACCTCAAGCAAACCCATTTGTTTTATTAGTTTAGTTTGGTCCTACTCCAGTCTGAGGGATGTGGTTTAACTACTACAGTGTTAAATTTAGAAGCGTCTCTTCACACTTGAAGTGCTTTTTGTTTTCTTTTGAGCAGATTACAAATAACAAAATGATGCTGTGATGAATCTGTGATGTCATTATATATAATATATAATATATATATATGTATGACCTTTACCTCTGTGACTATAATCTCTTGATAAAAGTTAGTCATAAAAACAGACTGCACTGTGTGTACACTGACAACAAATACTAATGTTATTGCAATGTGGCAGGCAACAAAGGATATGCATGTTTCAAAAGACAGAGACGCAGTGTTGTTTGTTGTGCAGGACTGTATGTTTAGTTTGCGTCCCCACCTTTAATACTGTCATGTCAGATAAGATTAAGTGCCAAACAGACATATGTGCCTCTTAAAAGGAGCAACTTTCTGTAATTAAAATCAATTTAATGTTGTTGGGGTTTTTTTTAAATGTTTTTAGATCCAAGACAGATCCACCTTTAGACAAAGGAGTGATCCCATGGTTAGGCCATGCACTTGAGTTTGGAAAAGATGCCTCCAAGTTCTTGAATCGAATGAAGCAGAAACATGGAGACATTTTCACAGTGAGTAGAAGAAACATGATGTTCATTTGACAACAATCTCACATCTGTAGATACTTAAATGTTTATTTTTCATAGCAATTTAAGGACCGCATATTAGTGTAAAAGTTCATCTTTGAAGTCTGTAAAGTACTCAGAAAAAAAGTGGAAGTTTACAGTTTCATGACATGGCAAATTTAGAGGGTTGCATCAGGAGAGAAGAGAAGTCCTGTTTTTAAATTAGACTTTTTTGCTTGGTTTTAGTCCATAAAATCTGATGTGGAAGATGTTACTGTAGAATATTATAGAGATTTAGAAACTTGCTTATATTCATGTAACAGCAGGTTACGGATAATATCATGACTTTACATCAGGATACACTATGATTTCCAGTCATCCTGACACAAAATGCACAGTTTGATATTTGAGTGGTTGTAAGAAGTTGTTTTCCAGGAAATGTGATCCTGAGTAAAGGAATACTGCACTTTGTTAGAAACCAGATAAACTTGCTTGCTTCAAAACCAGTTCAGATATGAGCTACGTTACAATAAGTATAATAAAGTGTTGTGATATAAGATATTATTGCTGTGTTTACAACATTTTAGGAAACAGTTTAACACTTAGAAATAGCTGTATGCACCTCATACATTTTCCCTTCCGCACTGATGACCTACAGGTGCGTGTTGCTGGGCGTTATGTGACAGTGCTGCTTGACCCGCACTCCTACGACACGGTCATCAATGACTCAGACTCCCTGGACTTCAGTCGCTATGCCCAGGTCCTCATGGAGAGGATCTTCAACCTGCGGCTGCCGCATCACCAGCCGGCCAGAGCAAAAGAGATGATGAAAAAGTATGCGCTGATTTCTTTATGCCGCAAACTGAAAGCTCATTTTGTATATTTTCATTTTCATTTCATGTAAATGTAGAAACGAAATTTGTTTCTGGAAATCAGGCCACTCCGCTCTGATGAATAGTGTCATTGTGGATATTTCTGAAAAACACCCCACCTATTTTTGGAAACCTATTTTTAGGGCATCTAGTTTTGTTATTGCTCAGTTGCTCTACACAGGTTTTGTTTGTTGTGTATGACTGAAAGATGCAGGGTGAGATGCTGGCAGACTTCAAGGAAATCAGGGGAAAACCACACACTCCATGCTATCATTTTTATTTTTAGACTGACATTTGGGCACACTGCCTTCTTCAGGTTGCATCAGATTGAGTGTACAGTCTTCCTTTCCCTTTTTGCTCATTGTGTTACCACCCAAATTTGCTTAATATAAAACCTTACATTACCTCAGGGAAAATAAGGCCAACAAGAAGCTTTAATAACAAGTGTCATGTCAACACCGTCAATCAGTGTGACATGATTTACAAGACTCCCACCTTAATGCAGCGGTAAACATTGATTAACCTTGTTGCCACCTTCTTTTGTGTCCGCAGGCACTTCCAGAGAATGAATTTGGCCGCCCTGAACGGCACCATGAGCAGATACCTGCAGGCCTCGCTGAATGCCGACATGCCTCAGAACCAGAAAAACTGGAAAGAGAAGGGACTCTTCGACTTATCTTACAGCGTACTTTTCAAGTAAGAGTGCCCCTCACTTCTGCCTACACATACTCACACACTTAACTATGTGAAAAGAAGCATGCATTCATGTCAAAAGCTTTCAGCTAAACAGTTTACACACCCGTCAGTCCTGTGATCCTCTGTTTGTAAACAGGGCAAGAAAAATGTAGGATGACTTCGCTGCTTCATTCTAATGTTCGAGGTCACATTTCCGGTGGAGCATTTTGGCAGATTCAAAATGTAGCCATCTCTCATGATATGAAGTGCCACTGGTAAACACAGGAGAGAGTAGATATCTGGGATGTGAAACACTATATGGTAGCAGTGTTTCCGGTGACATGGTGACATCCAGTGTGACGAGATGCTGCACCTTGTGCGGGCCAGTGGAAAAGTACAAGTTAAAAGGGGATTGCTTGTGTGCTTTCAAGAGAAAAATCTGTGTGGGCTGGTAATCTCTCCATCAGGACAAAAAAAAGGGCCACCATTCATCAGCCAGAGAGTCCCGCACATTCCCACACTTTGTCTCTTTTTATTTCTGCAGGGCGGGGTACCTGACGCTGTTCGGAGGAGAGCAGAACAACAACGGCACTGATCCCTCAAGCGTCTACGAGGAGTACAAGAAGTTTGATGAACTCTTGACCAAAATGGCCAGAGGCACGCTGAAGCCAGGTAGTGACGCCTTGAACACCTCTCACGTTTAAATGCCTCAAAACTTTATGTGTCTGCTGCAGCCGGCGGTTATCTGAGATCACACATGACAACATGAATGAAAATAAAAATGTATGTCAGTTATGATGCAACATGGGTTTGTGTCACCATTACAAAGCATGAGTCAGGAGAAGGTGTAACATGTGTTTTCACTGTTTACATTGTCACTAACGTACTTTGACATCATCAATAGATGCTCCTTCACATTTGTTTTGCCGTTGCCATGGCGAGTTTCACTCACTCAATTGCTTACATAGCGTCTGCTGTAGGAGCCTGTTTTGTCTTTTAAAGACTTTCACAATACATCATCGCAGCGCTCTGCAGACTCTGATCTAACTTGTATTGGTAACTCACTGCATACACCTTATTTCCCCAGGCTTTGTCTTTTCCTTGTGAGCTTTGTTTGTAATTGCATTTGTTCCACACACAGAAGTCAGCCAATTACAATATTATTGCTCACCGCCCCGAGTCGTGCCTGTCATACCTGACATAATGTTCCTCTCCCACCTCTTGCGCACAATTATATCTGTTTATGTATCTTTCATTCACGTTGAGCTCATCTGTTTATGTTCAGCCTGTGACTCACTCACTCTCTTTGTGGTGTTTATCTGTGCGACAGAGGAGAAGAGGACAGCCCACAGTGTTCGCCAGAGACTGTGGGAGCTTCTGGCTCCAGCAGGTCTGACTGAGGATTCAGGGTCGAGCCCTTGGCTTCACGCCTACAGGCGGCTCCTGCACGAGGAGGGGACGGATGAAGAGACGCAGAAGAAAGCGGTGCTAATGCAACTGTGGGCCACACAGGTGAGTCAGATATCAGTGTGTACTGTGTGTGAAAGTTAGGAATTTCAGTTGCTGATCACCTATAGAGATTAGGAAAGCTGCCTGCTCAGTCAGGTGAACTTGATGCCACTGTACCTCTGTGGTGTCCCCAGGAGCCGGAAGTAACTGAGAACATTTACTCAAGTACTGTGTGTAGGCACAGTTTTGAGGTACTTTACACAAGTATTTAAATTGTCTGCTACTTTATACTTTGGCCAACAAGTATCAGAACGAAATACTGTACTTTTTACTCAACCACTTTTTCACCTACTAAGTACAGCACATTGTTTCAGATTTGACCAACAGCTCTTCGCTCTTGCGGAGTGTAACCTTTAACACTTTAACATTCTATTACGTACTTTACTGTGTTGCTTGTTTTATTAACCACGTGTTGTACTTATTATAGCCTTTTAGGTTATTTAATTCTTTAATATAGGTCTGTCTTAAATGTTATTTATTCTATACACCGCAGGACCTGGGTAACAAATAATGCTCCCACATGTTTTTAACATATTTGAATGACAATTAACCCAGGACAAAAAAATAAAAAATCAATCAAGGTCTCAATCAAGTCTCAGATATCTATGGGAGACATTTCCCCTCTAAACGGCTCAAACAGTTTCATTTAAATCGCAGTTTTAGGCCCAAAGATGTAGAATGATCCAATATTTCACAAAGAACAGCAAAGATTAGAGAAAAGCCAAAGAAATTAGTAGAATTTTGTGCAGCGGAACTTTTCTTTTTTCTTCTTTCCAGCCCCATTAATCATCTGAGTACCATTTAGATTCATCTTATGACCCTGGACTAAACTAACTGTATTTAAAGCAGTTAAAACTTACTCCACCTTGACCAGCTGCTACAGTAAAATGCTACTGACACATTTGCATCATTATAAACAGTCTAGTAAATTGACATCACATAATATGAAAGAATATTAAAGTACATTTTGCTGATGATAATCTTATACTTTTTGTACTTGTCAGGGTTTATATGGAGGACTATGGTATTGGTACCTCTACTTAAAGAATAAAAATGGAGCACTTCCTCCACCACTGTGCAGTACTCTTATTCAGCACATGAGTGTGCTGTTCACTTCTGCTTTTACAGCAGTTGTTTGGCCTCTGAGGGTAAAAGCCAATAAAGGGTTTCAAGACTGTGAGATATATGACTGTAATTGAACTCAGTGTCTTGAGACTACTTTTAATGGTGTTAGACTTAAAAAAGCTGAATGTTGTCATGTCTTGGCTCAAAATATAACAAAATGGCAACTTTACTGATATTCTTCTCTGTCCCTGAAGTACACAGTTTGCGGTATATCTCCTGAAAATGTAAAAACCTTTCAATTGGTTTGTCAGATGTTTTAATGTTAGGTTATGGAAAAGTGCGCACACACCTTCGTGTCTTCCCACCCTTATTTCTTAATTTGCAAAACAAAATCTAGGTTATCAGTTATATTGGTTTTAGTCTTGACTGATTTGACCTGGTCTTGACTTTTTCCTCACATATAAGTGGACCCAGTATGTGCTCCTACAGTCGTGCCTGCAGCCCTACTGGAGGGGTTTATTGCATCAAAGGCCTTAATCAGATATTTACTTCATGTGCCTTTATCTGCAGGCTGTTTACTCATCCTCTCTTTGTACTTGTCACGACAGTTTATTTCCATTTGATTACGAGTTTTGAGTCATAACTTAAGTTCTGTCTCTGAGTCACATTTTTTATCTTTCCTAAAACTTTGGTGAGAGAAATCAACATGTATTTGCATGACACTTACTTCAGTAATGACACACAGTATTATGATCACAGTCAATATAGTATTACTAAAGAAATACTCCACGCCCCAAATGACCTTGTGTATACAAATCACCCCAAATTTGAATTTTCAACAACACTAGGGTGAGTGACTGATATTCATATGGTCATTTTGAGGGTGACATATTCCCTTAGGTTAAAGGTAGTTAAAAGTGAAATATGTCAGTGTCTAAGGAAGCTCTGCCACTTTGAAGTCTGTGATATGTTTGCCCAGAGTTTGGATAGTGTCACGATCTTGTGACGTGTGTTGTAATGGATACAAAACTTCTATCATCAGCAGTGTTAATGTATTTTTAAAAAGCATTAATTAAACTTTTTGGTGCATCTGCAGTGACGTGAGAGACAATTCTGTGGGGATTTATTCACTGTGTTAAATTTCCAGTGTCATGTCTCTACTCCTGGCAGACAGCGCTGCAGTTTGCCGTAAAACCAAATAGCTTCATAGCTTGTCCTGCCCTTGGATGCAGGCAGATGGCAGGGGACCTCAGGTTTCCAATGGCTTTCCTTATTAAGTAAACCATTACCGCACTGAGATTTGCCAGCAGTGAGACTTTCCAGAGCTTGGCTCCTCTCATCCCAGACACATGAAAGGAAGCTGCTCTTTTTTATCTCGTCAGCACTAAAGATTCATTAGGTCTTTTTCCCTTAATAAAATTTAACTTTAATTATAACATGTGCAACTCTAACTAAAAGACAGACATGAGTACTGTGGGTGTCCTGATGTATTCTTATTTGCTATCACCAAACAAACCACCTGTGCTGTCACTATGCAACACCAGAGTGACAGAGACAACCGTATCATCGTGGTCATGTGAGACTTTGTTTGTTTTTTAGGGTAATGTTGGTCCTGCTGCATTTTGGCTGCTGGGCTACTTGTTGACAAATCCCGAAGCTCTGGCAGCAGTGAAGAAGGAGTTCAGCGGGATCTCGCCGATGGAAACCTCGGAGACCTCATTACTGGACGGACCTGTGAACACCCCTGTGTTTGGTGAGGGCTTGACCCAGCTTGTGTAAACAGAGAGACATTTACTGGTCGTAGGTAGAAACCAAAGTCTGGATTCACATTTCAAGACTGGAATAATACACATTATGTATATTTATAGTGCAGAAAAACACAACGTAATGATGCAAAAGAATAATATTTGAGGGAAAATTCTACAGCTAAGTGTTAAGTTTAAAGGAATGGGATTTATAAATTCAAATAGACAAGACGTGTATTACAATATAGATGAAATTCATAAAGAGTAGAGAAATATTGCAGATGAAGCTTGTAGAAAATATGGAAAACTCTTCATTCTGTCAGTGTACAAATATGGCTCCCTGACTTCATAGACATAGTAAGCATGGAACACTGGGCTGCCAACACGCACCCAAGAAAAAAAGGAAAATATTTCACATTGGAGACAAGCTATAATAAAATCTTAAATACAACTGTTCTCAGTGTCCATAAGGACAAGGAAAGGTGGGGTGGTAGGGCGCCAAAGGGAGGGATATGGATATGTTTGTGGTTGCCTTGTTGCCAAATTTATCATGATCTATTGACATATGTATTTATCTACTTAATTTACCATCTATCAACTTGCCATACTCCCAGTGATGTGAAAATATCAGTTGGAAATTGATCACAAAGAAATATTGCAGATGAAGAAAAATGCTGCTGCTCTTTTGCTGTTATTAACAACATCTCTCTCTGCCCTCTTCTTTCCAGAGAGCGTCTTGGAAGAGACACTCAGACTCACCGCTGCCCCCTTCATCACCAGAGAGGTAGTGCAGGAAAAGACCCTCCACATGGCTGATGGCCAAGAGTACCTGCTGAGGAAAGGAGACAGGGTGTGTTTGTTTCCCTTCAACAGCCCCCAGATGGACCCTGAGATCTACCACGAGCCACAGGTTTGTCATCCTGTCTATTTTTCTACAATCTCCTCACCCTGTCAAAACTTTCCCGTGCTGCCAACAGGAACAGTAGTAATTGTCTTTGGGACGAGTTGGAGGCAGACTTAAGTGTAATTAGCGTAGTTGTTTATGCAAGGTGGAATCAACGCCTACACAGAGCTGACCCTGTATTACCCAGTGAGAGGTCAAACCCAGAGCTGTGGACCAGTGAGGGATTAGCCGAGCAGGGGAACATAAACAGGGCTAATGGGCATGGGAAGGACATTGAAGTTAGGCTGCATTAAGAATCTCTGTTTTCCAGAAATGAGGCCAATAAACAGATATTAAAACTGTGTGATCAAGCTAATTCTTCTTAAATAAATTGGCCCTTTCTAATTGGTTCGACTCTGAATGTGTTTCCTTTTCAGAAATACAAGTACGATCGCTTCCTGAACCAAGATGGATCGCTGAAGAGAGATTTTTATAAAGGAGGGAGGCGGCTGAAATATTACACCATGCCATGGGGCGCAGGGACCAATGGCTGTGTGGGAAAGCAGTTTGCCATCAATACCATCAGACAGTGAGTGTCCTAAAATGAGTTCACCATGTAACTTTACGACTGGTTAAGACCTCAAATATTCCACTCTGGAGGAATTTGTTACGTTTAGTTTCTGCTTCAGTGCTCTAATATCATGTTTCATTTGTGCTTTGCTCTTCAGGTTTGTTTACATGGTGTTGACTAACTATGATTTGGAGCTGTGTGACCCAAATGCTCACATGCCGGAGGTAAATGCCAGTCGTTATGGATTTGGGATGCTACAACCAGAGGGGGACTTGCCTGTCCGATACAAGCCTAAGAATAAACACTAGGACTTTGAAAACAACAACACATTATCTTGTATGCACATTTCAACACTTTGTTTATAGTGTCAATATGCCATTTGTACTTTTGTATTCCATATTTATATTATAAAGTATATAATTATTTTGTTATTTATCAATAAATGTAAATAATATGTTGTGTACAAGCTTGTGTTGTCACATTTCTCTGAGGTTTTGGGGTAATTAATATGCGTTTGAGCTGCACCCCACATTGTTAATCTGTGAGTAAATATAAATATAAGACGATACATTTATTTTCACTAGGTGTCATTTTTAGGAGCTTTGGAGCATGGGTCTGTGTGTTACATAGAGAGTACGTTATAATGAGGGGACTGTCTGTACTGTAAACAGAGCAGGCTGCACATCTGTCACACTGACACATGCCCACTGTTTGCAGAGTGAAGCTGAGTGGAAAGTTTAGATTTATATGTCATGTGGAGAGTAACTTACTAGTACGGGCAGATCCACCACGGGCCGCAGACTGTAAGGTGCAGTGCAGGTTAGCGGAGGAACAGCAAAGAATATGCTCTTATTTCTACTCACAGTTTTAGAAGTTGACACCCTGTTTAAGCCATTAAGGCACAATTATGGACAAAATTGGCCCCAGTAGATCTGGCTTCAGTTTAAATGTGTGTGCTAAGTGTTGAGCTCTTTTATGTGGATTAATGAGTAAGTTATCCACGGAGTCTGACTGTGTGCCGCTTAGGTCAGGGGTTCCCAACTGGTGGGTCACAGGCCCATTCTGAATGGACCACAAGTGACTTGCAAACTTGTCAACTTTGTTAAAAAAAAAAAAAAAAAAAACACTTTATTTTGTAGTGCACTGAATTTCCAGCACAGAGCTTTTATTTTATAGTGCTGTTTCCTGCTGTAGAGTGAGTGACTATCCACAGCTTCTTGAAAGAGACACCAAACTAGGTCCATGACATGGCCAAACTCAAGTATGACGCTGAATATATTAAACTATGTGGAACTTAACCTAAGGAGAAGTCTGGACCCTGTGGCTGAACTGGTTGGGAACCACTGAGTTAGGTTATCTCTGCAGAGAACAAACAATTGAACAAACACCATCCAGGTGGGACCAAGATCACAGACAGGGGACGACACAATGGACACCTGGGCCTGGATACACCTCCAGTTTTTCTTCTATTAAGGACTTCTGGGGCTCTGTTACTGACATGAATGACTAAACCTGACATAGGGTCTACCTGAGCCCTTGGGCCCCTGGGCATGGGCCCTCTAAGCCTGTACAGTGATACAGCCATGACAAAGATCACTATAATATTCCTTGGAGGCCTCACACACTGTCTGCCTGTAAGAGTAGGGTGAATGTGTGGCACTTTTTTTTACCCCCTGTTCCTAAAGGGATATGTGGTGTATTGAACTAATAGCCTTACTTTAAATTTGATCTATAATATACTCCCTATAGAATTAGTTTTGCTCTAATAGTTATAGATCTGAAGTAACTTCTGAAGACGCCTTTGATCCAGTCCTGCCTAATGATGTGAGTTCTTCCAACACTGTTCACTGGCCTATAACACTGCTGCACACAGCAGACACCCAGAATAGATGCACCGAGCTGTGGCTCGCTGGCTCTGTGAGGGTTAAACTCACTCAGGCTGCAGCCGCTGGAGGAGCCTGAGAGAAATCAGCCCCCTGCAGGATCCCGTTCACAGTCACAGGCGCCGGCCAGCACGCACTCACACGGTGAGCAGGTGGAGGAGAGGTACCCACTGCATTACCGGCTACTCTCAAGAGTCTACTTGTTGATTCGCCTCCCGGAGGGGTGGACAGGGCGGACTGGACATGCTGATATTTCTGTAAAAGACTTAGGTTTTTCACCATGTCGCCACGCAGCTCATGATGCCTCCATCAGCTCCCAGCAGAGCACCGGAGACCAGGACGGACTTAAGTTTTTACGCGTTTACTCTTGAAATGTTGCTGATGTGCGTCCATGAGGTGAATCGGGATAAACGAGAGACACGTATGTATCATTATCTCTCTACTGTGTTCATGCCAGGTTACTTGTTTCCACTTTGATATTTATCTCCTGTCTATTTGGCGTAGCTGGCCATCATTGCATGCTCATGCAGGTACAGTAACTTCATATAGTTCCCCAAAATGCACTTGTGTTGCATGACTCAGATATGCGCAAAATAGTGGAGTTATTATTTGCCCGGCTTAAATTAACTTTATAAATTGCTTGAAACTTGAGCAAACAGCCGCACCTGCACGGGCAGACTGCACACCTGTCTCAGAGGCTGATATAATGTGTGACAGGCTCTTAATCAAAGTTGATAATCGGTGTTAGTTGTAGTCCAGCTTAATATCCCTCCAGAGGACAGTTCATATTCACATGAGTCGCTCCTTGGTGCCTTTGCATCGGGATTGATCGCTGTCCCACCCGAGCTGAGGCGTTTCAGCACCGGTGTCCGCGGACAGCGACAGACAGACAGCGGTCCGCAGACTGACAGACAGGCGCTTCAGCACCGGACAGCGCTCACAAGTGGAGTCCAGTTTATCATTGGCCGGGCTCTCCACCCCCCTCACCGCCACCCTTGTCAGCAAGAAAAGCGGCTGTGCCTGTTAAAGCTGATTAAAATATCTATTTGCTTCTCTGATGAGTGGATAAACCACCTGACATTGCTACTGTAGGACACCGGCACTCACTGTGCAACTGCGCCTCAATTATTTCTTTTTCCTTTTTATTGCAGCCACAGGATGAACTGAGGAGAGACCCTGATGCGGTCAGCTGCAGGACCATGTCTTCTTAATCTGCCGGACTGTATCTCCCAGGCTTGTAAAGTGACCGAGTGACTTGTGTGAAGATGATCAAAGCGGGGGCTCGGTCGGCCACCTCGCTGCCGCCGGATACCATGGACATCATCCGCAGTAAGACCCACACCCGCCGCGTGAGACTCAACGTCGGCGGCCTCCTCCACGAAGTCCTGTGGAGGACGCTGGACAGGCTGCCCCGCACCAGACTGGGCAAACTGAGAGACTGCAACACCCACGACTCTATCATGGAGATATGCGACGACTACAGCTTGGATACCAACGAGTACTTTTTCGACAGACACCCCGGCGCCTTCACCTCCATCCTCAACTTCTACCGCACCGGGAAGTTGCACATGATGGAGGAGATGTGCGCCCTCTCCTTCAGTCAGGAGCTGGACTTCTGGGGCATCGATGAGATCTACCTGGAGTCCTGCTGCCAGGCCAGGTACCACCAAAAGAAGGAGCAGATGAACGAGGAGCTGAAAAGAGAGGCGGAGAACATGAGGGAGAGGGATGGAGAGGAGTTTACAACCACGTGTTGTTCAGAGAAGAGGAAGAAACTCTGGGACCTCCTGGAGAAGCCGAGCTCGTCGTTTGCTGCTAAGGTAATGTCCCAAACAGACACACTGTCAGAGGAAGGCAGATTTTCCAGTGAGGAGTTTTTCCTCTTTCTGTTGAAAGTGCCGTTTGTGCCCAACCCCCACTTTCAAATACTTTTTTAGCCACAAAAATCATGCTTAAAGGTCCAGTGTCTAGGATTTAGGGTGATATACAGGCAGAAATGTTTTCTTTAGTGAAGAATCACCTGTGTTTTCATTACCTTGCAATGAGCTATTTACATCTACATAGGGAGCGGGTCCTTGTCTATGGAGTCTGCCATGTTGCACCGCCATGTTTCTACAGTAGCCCAGCACAGTCAAAACACTGGGGTTAGTTTGGGCCATTCGTGTTGTCACAGCCCCTCTGTGACAAGAGCATCGTAAAAAGGCAGATTTTTTTTTAAACTAGAAACATATTTTTCCATGTTTTCACCGGTTTGAATCACTGGGTGATCTTGATATGGGGAGCAAGAGACCTTTTCGGATAATTTGGTTCATGGTCAAAACCTCCTGAATGTCTGGATCAGAAAATAGGTGAGCACACATTAGCAGGTTCTGGACTAGTGGCCCATCTGCAACATGCCACACAGTGTCAGAGAGACATTAATTTTTTTAACGTGAATCTGGACTGAAAGTGTTTTTGTGTTGTTGTTTTTTAAAATATTTTTGCTTGTTTTAATCATCACCTTATTCATTTGTTTAGGAGAGGAAGAGACATCTGCAAATAATTTGACTCCGACTTAAAATTTCCTTAACATCTAGATCTTAAGTTATAAGAGAAAAATGATGAGCACACAGTAGGTGTTGGCTAAAGACCCGTCTCCGACATGCCGAACAGTTTTAGAGAAACACTGATCTGTAATGTGAAACTGCTTTATTCAGTGTTTTTAGTGGTTTACATTACCCGGTCTGTTTGTTTGGGAGAGGAGGAGACCCCTGGGGATAACTCATGTTAAAAACATTCTGAATGTCTGCCTCCGAAATGAGGTGAGCACAAATTAGTGGGTGCTGGACTAGCGGCCTTTCTACAACATAACAGCGTCACAGAAACACAGATTTTTACATGACACTGCATTCATTGTTTTTACTAGTTTTAATTACCTGATCCATTTGTCTTGGGAAAGAAAGAGACCTCTGTGGATAATTCGGCAAAATGACCAACATTCAAGGAATTCTAACCAGGAGGGGTTTCAGCTGGTTGCAATGTGCAATCCTCCCCTCTAGGTGCCACTATATCCCCCTAAATATTACACACTGGACCTTTAACACACTACTGTTTGGTCAGCTGTCAGATTCTGGTTGAGAATGTGACTTGAGCTACTGATTATGATCTGATATACCCCAAAAAACACCATGCAGAAGTAGAATATATAGCATATTTAGTACTATTGTAGTAGAATTTAGCATGATGACCAACTTCATTATTTCCCAGATTTTGTTTTGGTTTCTGTGGTCTTTGAATGTATGTTGAAATGCAGGAAATGGGATTCAAATCGTATTTTTTTTTCTGGGGGAGGACTCTCATACCCACAGTTTTATTGTGCCCCACCACCTCTCAAACCAAAGTTACGCCCCTGGTGACAGCAGTAGGTAACCTGAGAGAGGGTAGCATTGGCACACAGCCAACAGGCCTATGTTACTTAATTTTTTAAGAACAATTCACCCATCAAGAAGTGGAGGGACGGTAGCTGAGCAGAGATTGGTCCTGATGAATAGGATTTAATTTTAGAAAAATAGCTAAAGACACAAGGAAGGGAGCATGGAAATTTTGTTTGACATCCAGAGGCTCTTTGAGATTGGCTTGATCTGATGTCTGACTTTCTTTTAACCCGAACCAGTGCTTTTCATCCGTCACTTTCAGCAGCTGGAGGAAGAGAGACAGAGAAATAGATGTTGTTGTACTCAGAGGTGAACGTCAAAGCTGTCTGCAGACTTTCGCTCATTCATCAGCGTGCATTGAAAAGCATGACTTTGGAAACTATTTTTGCTACTCCACTTTAATCAATAATCTTAACTAGGTGTTCTATCCTGAGAAGAAAAGACCTGGGTGCTGTTTTTCTGGCAAGTCAATTAAAACCCCCTTTTTTGTTGCTGGTGAGAACATGACAGCCCTCATTGTCTCCCTTCACTGGTTTCAGTCAGATAGTTGTTCCTGAGCGAGTATTGTCTGCACGCTGGTCTCTTGGGCTAATCATTGAATGTTTGTTTTTCATTAGCAACACCAGAGAGGACGTAAAGAATGGCACTTATTGTTAGAGTTTAATCCATATCACGACCGCAATAGACTACTTCACGGAATATATATTTTTAGATCACCACTAACACCCCTGATCCTCCTCTCCTTTTAACAATCACCCCCTCTTGGCTTCATTAGCCACCCCTGCCTCATTTCCAGATCAGTATTCAATCATCCAGCTCATTAACAGGCTCATAGCTCACACTCCAGGAACAAGAGTACTTCACTTTGCTGGATCAATACCTATAGGCATGTTAACAGCATTTTAAAGTGAAGTGACTTAAAGATGTGACTGGGTCAATATTCAATTAAAAATGTTAAATAACTACAAATATAACCAATACAACAACTGTTTCAAGGATCTGCACATTAAGTGGTGTTTTAGTCATTCTACGCTTACTAGAGAGTGAAAAAGAAATGTGCAACACTTCAAATGAGCATGTCAAAGTTTTAATTTTCAGATGCAACTGAGATTTTTTTTTTTAATTTTTTTTTTTTTACCACTGATGTATCAGTTAAAAATGCCTGAAGCTGTCACATTTGTGTGCACAGAAACATGTAAGATATTATGGTCAAATCATTACTCAGAGACATTTCAAACACCTCCTTCAACAGGAGTTTCTGCATAATTCATTCAGCTCATCTATTGAAAAAAAACCCCTGCTCCATCTCTGACCTTGAATTGCAGAGGCTCTTAATTATTTTTTCTTAAATATTCAATCACATTGCTTCAGGGCATTCTCCATTTATGACACTCTATGCCCCACAGTTCTCTAATTAACCACACAGACAAAGAGTCATCCAACACCAGGTCCTCTGGTATTCATGCCGACTGGCAGACCTCCCGGCATCAGAGGAAATCAGTGTGTTGGATTAACCAGGAAGAACAGTCTGGGTTTTACCTTTCCTTTCTGTCAAACTGTAATGTTAATACATCTTCCCCATATTTTATCTATAAAACAACTCCTGTCTTCAAGAGAAATGACATAGCTGAAGCTATTGATCATCATTTTATGTCTGTTTGACCACAAATTTAAAGGCCTAGTGTGTAGGATTTAGTAGCATCAAGTGGCAAAGTTGCAGATTGCAACAAAGTGAAACTTCTCCCGTGCACATTCAATAGTTTGTTACATAAGAAACAAATTAGCCTCCCACAAATGGCATCATCATGAAATATCAAGTTACATACTTAGCGTAAAGTTCCATAGATTAAGTTTGGGAGAAGAAACATGGTGACGACAAACCTTAAATAATAAGTTCACTTGGTTTCACATGGGACACTAACACCGGTCTCCTTGGGGAACGTTTTGTGTCTGTTTGACCCATCTACCACTCCAACCTGCCTCCTTACACCGACTTTCACTTTTTATCTACTTTCCTCTTTACTCCTCTCCATGTATTGGCCACATAATTGCAGCCTTCCTGATTACATGGGTTATACACAAATTCTGGTGCAGTACTTTTTATAGGTAGCCTGCCGGGCGTGTGGGAGAACTACGGTGGCCGACACGAAAAAACTCAAATGGCCCTATCTGCAGCCAGTGTTTGGGTAGTCTGTTCTGGTCTACTGTAGAAACAACATGGTGAGCTCCATGGAAGAGGACCCGCTCCATATGTAGATATAAACGACTGATTCTAAGGTAACAAAAACAGAACCACTCTTATTTTCAGGTGATTAAACACTTAAGAAAATATAGTCAATAACATTAAATTAATATTAAATTTCTGCTAGTATATCCCCCAAATCCAAAACTCTGGACAAGCAAATATTCTCTTGGGTGATCACTTATATAAAGGTTTCAACCACAGGGAATCTACTGCTGTCTTACAAAAAAGCCCTAGAATAATCAGATCATGAATCAGCCACTGCCCCATTAAGATTATAACATAGTAATTTTAACTCTAGAGATAAAAAAACAAACAAACAAATGATTACCACACTCTAATCGACCAAAGGCTTTTAATATTGTCCACCACAGTGTTGATGTTGTTGTTGTTGTTGTTGTTGTTGAATTTAATGAGTCACATTGGCTGATTTTGATGAAAGCTGGTGTGTTGTATCCAATAACTCAGGTTATTGTTGCTGATATTAATTTAGCCCCCCTTAAAACTGACAGTGGCGTTCCTCAGGGATGTATGCTGGGCCCGCTATTACTGCCAGTGTAAATGAATGACATAATCTTCCAACACAGACTCATTTACACACAGATGACACCATTTTGTTTTCACAAGATCCTCTGTTTTAAATGTAGACAACAAATTTTCTAATTCTAAATTCTGCTGAGGTAAGCTCAAATGTAAAATGTGAATATAAGCAAAGTACAAAAAATACAATTTAGATTCAGACTCCAAATACTGTTTTGATCCCTGGGAGGAAATTGGGAGACAGTTACTCTCATACTATATATAGACACTGAGAAAGGAAATAGTATTAGAAATAAGAAATATGACAATAACAATAACAATGTGCATTATGCTACAATATATAACACAATATAAAAATATAAGAAAAAGATATGTTGTATAACAAACAAAAAAAATGAAACAAGTGCATTGTACCAAAAGTGTGCTAACTATAAATGCAAGAGCAGAAAAGGAGAGAATTAAATGACAGAGTATTGTACAGCTGAGTTATTACTGCACAATATTGCAGAGGGATTCCAGTCAGTAATGTATATTGTAAAGTTTAGCAGTTGAATCAGTAAAGTATTGCACAGTTGAAAGTATAAATAATAAAGTGTTATAGCTGCTGCTGACGGGAGAAATAAGT